TCCTCAACAACAGGATCAAGGATAGATAGGAGAAGTTAACTCTTCAAACACTGAAGATAGCACATTTTTCTCTAATTATGAAATTGCGTGTGGGTTTTCTGCATGTGGGTTTTCTGGGAAAACAGAATTTCTCCGTTTGAGAAACTACAGCTGCCACACCTCCCTGGCAGAAACTATTCAGCTTCTATCAGCACATGATATTGACTCAACAGCCAAAGCTCTCCCATTTTCAGGCAAATAATTGTTGCCTTCAACTGCAGAAATGCACCTCTAGTGTTCAGTTGTTTGGGGTTTTTTTTTAAATGTTATGTATCTTGAGGTCAATGTGTCATGTCTCAAATGACCACTTACGTTCTGACATACCAGGGACAAGACTACTGCAAAAAGCAGCTGGCTAATTAAACATCTGAACAGAGATATCTGAAAGGAACCAGATTTTTACAAAGTACCTATCACTGGGAGGAGGGGGAGCAGAAAAGGAAAGAAATTCCCCTTGTTACTCCTTTAAAACAACCTCCTATCACTGATTAATTAAAAGAAGGTTCTAAAAATGAGTAACTTTTTTAGTTTGACTCACACTATGCTTAAAGCTAAATAAACAGCAACAGCTCTTATTGCTGGCTTAAAGGACTGCTCACACTGATGTACAGTATGAGTTTAATTTCCATATCTCATGCAGTGTAAACCCTCTTTTCTGTAAGGGTAGATTTGCAGGTGTAAAGAAGCCACCAAGTTAATTGAGCATTCAGGTACCTGTTTCAATGTCAAACTTGCCAGCTATATCAGCAGGCCATTTACAGGTATCATGGGACACACAAACACTAACAGTTCCTGCCCTTAAGCATTTATAGCATACACTAAGTGTATATACACATATATAAATAAACATTTTTTTTAAAACACTCATACCCTAAGTCAATTTAATCCAAGACAATAAAGCTGATCCTCTTTCATTCATGATAATGTAAGGAATTTAAAATATAAAATAACAACTATAAACACTTTAGGGTTACTAAAGGGCTTCAAAAAATATCCAGATAGGATCCTGAATGCATTTCCTGGTCCCAGAGAAACTTACAGGAGCTTTCCTGTGATCTCAGTACAGTCAAGTTTCCACTGCCATCATGAAACAGACAACTCATGTATCTGTGTATTTTACACAACTTATCAAATCATCTCGAGACTATCTCTAGCTTAAGAATAAGAAATTTAAACTTTAAAAGGTCTTTAAAAAATATTATACATGTTTATGTATAAAATATATATAAAACATTTGACAAAAAATAAAACTGAAAGAAGCAAAAGTCACAGAAGAAAAGAGATGCGTTAACAACCAAAACAGTATCATTTAGTCATGTAGGGGACCAATGAGACTTGTCACTGTACCAAAGAATTTTCTATAGTTGTATTCAGCTGCAGTATCTAATACCTCCTGCTTTTCAGAGGGATGCAAATATATCCAAATTTCCTTTATTTCTGCTCTATACTTTCCTCTCTGTCAAATCTTAAAGCAAGTCACTAGCAGGAGTCAATGTAATCTTGGATATTTACCCTTAATATATTGACCAGCTGAATTTTTTTGCACAGTCTTTAGGAAGCAGCCCTGACAGATGCAATCCATTACCACGCATTGCAAGTACAGCATCAGCTCACAAATCTGTCCCCAGCACACAGGCATTTACTTTTTCTGAGTTCAGTAATAATATCAACGTAAGCAGAAGCTAAGGTACCATTACTATATCATTGGTTTTGCAGCCAAATTATTTGTCTTCAGCTATTGCAGAAGATCATTTACGTTTTTATTGCCCTTCCTGGAGATGGTTTTGCTCAGTCTACTTACAATCATAGAATATCTTGAGTTGGAAGGGACCCATAAGGATTATTGAGTCCAACTCCCCGTTCTTTGCAGAACCACCTACAACTAAACTACACGACCAAGAACATTGTCCAGACACCCCCCGACTTAGATCTACACTGAGCAATGCATACCATATTAAAAGAACATACCTCAGTTGGCACTGCCCTTACTTCCAGCCATCACTCTTTTCTGCAAGCTTCAAAATACCAAAAGCATTTCTCTGAAACTATGGTAAACTTGGAGGCCATGGACAGAGAAGGGCTATCTCATATAGATGGACATCAGGCTCTTACTGGTGTTAAAGATCAGAGCCTGGATTTAGCACTAGAAGATAGGAGCAGTCTAGCTATAATGGAAGACTGCTGATGCAGTTTACCACCAAATGCTTCCCCCCTGCCAAACACTTATTAAAATTGCACTTGATGTCACATTGTCACCTACTGCTTGCATGGCATGCAAATACACCCATACCTCAACCACCCATACGCCTTCTTACCAAAAGGTGTCTTGTATTGCTTTCAAGTACAAGAAAGGGAACAGAATCATGACCTTTCTCAGCACGAAAACTGGAAAGACAATAAATCAGGGTAAAATTAAATCTCAAAGAGATTTCAGAGTCACAGAAAGCTTTGGGTTGTTTTGGTGTGGTCTGGTTTTTTTTTTTGTGGAAGCAAGTACAAAAAGATTCCTCTTAATAGAGACTTAAATTTGATTTGAGAGGAATTTAGACACAACAAATGTGTGTAACACTCGGGAATGTTTGATTTATGATAAGTACATCTGCCACAGGTTGTATAGGAAACAGAGAAATCACTCAGCACAGAATGAGCAAATAAAGTAACATCAGGCAATTTCCTTCATATTAGAGAGTAAAATACATCATGCAAAATTAAAAGAAAGACTTTACAGAAATTAATAGCTTCCCCTCTAAACTCCAGAGAAGGTAAAGGACACAGAGCTACTGTTTGCATTACTGTTGTTGGGCAGTGGGCAGCAATACAAGACATCTACCTGCACAAAACAAGTACACATTCCCAAAGAAGAACATATAGTTGATGCCAGTTGCAATCTATCTATCTATATTTAATATCCACTATTAGTGATGGATATCTACTGTAGAGCTAATTAGAACAGAGAGAACACAAGAATGAATCAACACCAAAAGCCAAAAGTACAGAATAAAGAACTAGTCTTTTAACACAGACCCAACAGTTACAGCTCCAGCGTATCAACAGTTATATGTTTAACAAAAACATAAAAATCCAAAGTTTCAGAGTTTCAATACATACAGATGTAACTCTCAGAAAGGCAAATACTGGCACAGCCTGTCCTCAAATTCATGTTTTTTGTTAGTTACATAGGCTCTTTACCATTCAACACCCTTTGTAAAGAGCTACAAAGCTCTCTCGCCTGAACATTACCAACATATGTATTCTTCAGTATCCAAGAGAGCTGAAACCGCCTAAGAGCCTCAGGGCTTTTCTGTACAAGAATTCTTTCAGACAGATATATACAGTAACATTATATAGTTACATTTGTACCAGTAAACTCCCCATGTGGACAGAGACTTTGAGAACAGAATGCTTTTTCTTCCTGCAGACAAACCCTCAGTAGTATTTGTGTAATTCACATAAAAGCCTGAAGTCAAAGAAACTCAAGTGCCCAAGTGACTCTGTACTTTTGCACTTTTGCCCAAGCCAACAGGGAACAAAATGAAGAGGTACTCAACATCCTTGCATCCATAGCTCCCGCTACAACTTTACTACAAAAGGCTCCTGTGGAGAACAGAAAGTCAGTTCTTTGCAACCCAAGAGTTAATTAATAAGATGGGAAAGAGAAGCACATGGATGTTGGTATAAGGCAGACAGGACAACAAAACATGTGGAGCTTGGGAAAGAAATAACCCATAAAACTGAACCAAAAGGCCACATTCTTATGCAAAACCAGATTTCCTGTTCTCGTCCCACTTTTTTGCCCTCTTTGACAGAACACCCTTGGCAGATTGTCTCGCCTGACAATGGAAAGGTGAAAGCACAGTATAAGCAGTTGCTCCTGCTTGTGCAATCCAACAAAATGCCAAAAGCAGGGTGACCTTCACTCCTGCAGCCAGAAACACAAGGTCAGTATGAACGTTTAAAAAGGTTGTCCTGAGCATTCAGCAAGGTTTTTATAAAAACTGTGAAAGGGAAACTTTCCAAAGCTGAAGGAGGAAAGAGAAAGGTCTTTCAGCAGCTGCAAGGACTACCTTATAAGCCTTTCAAATGCAGCAGGATGAGCTAATAAAGCTGGCCCTTAAACCCTGGAGGTTCAGTGTTTAAATTGTGATTCAAATTCACAAATGAAAGGCATCTATTTTATGCTTGCTCTAGTACACAGACAAATAAAGTAACATCAGAAAACTATTACAGTATTTGACTAAACTCAAAAATGCACTGGAGACAGGCAGCAGACTAGGCAGAACATTCTCCAAAACCTTGCCTCCCACTGTCCTACCATCATATCACTGTTCATTGACTGCTTTTGTAAGATGCACTTTTAAAAGAGGCTTCCTGATCAATGACAGAATCAAGCTTTCAAAGTACACCACTGGCTCATTCAACCTGTGGATATGAAATATGCATCTAGTTTTACTTTCAGTTAAAGCATATGCTCTAGCTATTATTCTCTAAACAGCTTTCTACTGGTGATACACAAGCCTCTTCTGGGGAACATGGAACAGCCACCTAGAACATTATTTTCTCTAGCTCAGTTATCTCAACAACTCAGTCACCACTTCTGTATCATTGACCTCTACTGGACAATGAATGGGAGGGAGCAGAAGTTTGTCCACTGTCTGAATGGAAAGATGTCCTACACTAACTTACTTCTAATAAAATTCTTCAGCAATGGGTTCCACATACTACTTCATTCCTAGGGAGAACTGGCAACACTAAACACAGTCAAAAGTCTCTGATTTCTACAAGGGATTATTACTTCAGTTCATAAAAATCACCATTTTTGGTAGCTTGGTGGGAGGTTTGGATGCAAATGACATTTCAGTGTATCAGGCAGCTCCTCTCAGGTCATTTCTTCAAGGTTCAGCTTTGAAGCACTGAGCCCAAAACAAGCCAACACTGTGACTGTAGAAAAGCCAAGCTCTTACCTGCTTTGCATGTTCTGCCATCATCTTCTAGCTGCACACCAGTGGGACAGGCACAGCTGTAGAAGGGGTCTCTTGGAGACAGCAGGCACAGATGGGAGCAACCACCGTTGTTTTCTTCACATGGAGTGTGAACTTCAAGAAACCAAAAAGATTTATTTTCATTTTTCTGGAAGCCCTAAAGCCCTCTTTTCTCCATGAGGAAGAAATAATAGATACCAAATAACTGGCACAAGCTTTAGTGCTAAAACACAGAGGAATCACAACACAAACTGTCTGATTTCCCACACCATTCCCCACCTCCCCACCCCCAGCATCCTACTTCTAGGGGTACCTAAACTGAGATGTAAGCAGTTGGTGGGGTGATCGGTTCTACGAAAGAAAGGAAAACGTAATAATTTGTACAATTCCTACATTACAGTAGTGTTGCATTTTGGAAATATCTTTTTCTTTTGCAAAACTTTTACAGCAAGACATATCCCTGAATCATCAGGAAATCCAGAGGAGCAACATGTAAAGTCGCAATTCTGAATACATGAAAGGAAAAAAAGTAGGGAAGGAGATGTGTACAGGACAGGGATGGACATAACCAAATGTTCCTATCTCTTCACATGGGGAAAAAAATGGCAGCAAGACATGAAACTGTAATCATAAATAATTATGGATAATATTCCCACTTATTAAAAAAAATACTTGCAAGTTGTGCAAGATCTCTACAAAATTACAGTTTGAGTAATCGTCTGGACTACTTTAATATAAAAGAACAAAATTTACAGATCATTTGACTTTGGTTTCTTCCACTGACAGTCACAGAGGAAAAAAAGGGTGAGGAAGGAATCCAAGTCTGATCTCAATGAAGTCAATGGCATCTGAGCTATTTTCAGCATATGCTATTTCCCCATGTGCCATACTTTCTTTGTGACTGACTCAGAAATACTATGACCCAAGCCTGGGACATTCTTGGAGCTAAAAGCAATGACAAGAATTCAGTATAGACAAACTCTTATCTGGAGCTGTGAGATAAACCAGGGTGCTGTGCATACCCAGCAACCACAATGAAAACTTGCTTATGTTCCATCATCAAGATAATCTCCAAACTCCTTTTGCTTACTTTCAAGCCTGTTTCCTCACATCCTATAAACTTCACTGGAATAACAAATGTTATCTTTAAGGAAGCAGAATTTACAGTTGGCATAAATAAAGAAGCCAATACAAATGGCAAGAATGTCTTCCCTAGACAAGAGCTGATTCTTCCCAGAGCTACATCAGAGCTACATTTCTACACCATTGCTTTTAAATCTCATTCAAAAAAAAAACCTATATCAACTGCCACATGGAATCACATGCACACACAAAACACATGCAGCCTTACTTGAATACTCTACATGTGACTTCCTCTGAAGTAGCATCATACAGTATCAAGAAAAAACATACATGTTCCTCTAAAAGCTCAAAACTAAATCCCTTCCATACTAAAACATTCACAAACTATTTGCTACATATTGAAGATTAACACGATCAAGTCTGGACTGCAAAAAATGCACTTATAGGTACAATATGAACATGACATATTTTGTGGTAATTCCACTCATTAAAAAAAAAAAGTCATGGTAAGCACTTTTTTCAATTGTCTTTAAAATAATGGCATTGAAAAGATGCCAGGTGAATCAGTATCATTCTCATTCAAATTTTCCAAACCGTCACTGAAGTACTGCACTGGATTTTGGATTTTGTTAACAACTGGGATGGTGAGTGAGCTTATACCAATTCAGGTTGGAATTTTCAAAGAAAGGTACAGGATTCAAGGATTTACACCTTTAGCAACCAATCCTCTCACAAGTGTGCACAACCTTAAAACTTCACACTAGCCACTTTTCTGATCAACATTTTTCCTGACAGGTAAGTAACAGCCATGCAAAAAGTTTCAGGGAAAAGGAAAACATACAGTATGGCTGCCGGTCTGGACTTAGAACCTGGATGTCCATCGGAGAATACAGGGCAGACAATATTTCTCTTCTTTTCTCTCCCGTCCTTTTGTTACAGGCGTGAATGGAGCGCGTTTGCCAGTCCGTCCAATACAAAGTGTCCCCAGACAACGTCAGAGCAAAGGGATGAGTAAGACTGCCTTCAACAACTTTTTGCCTGTGTGAAAGAAAGAGCAAGGATTAAAAATGGATTGCTTCCACTTGTTACCATGCAGAATGAAAACCTAGCTTTGTAAAACTCATATAGGAGCTGTCGCCTTTTAACAAATTCACTGGACCAAGAGATTCACTCAGTAATAAAAGTGACAACAAACTGAAAAATGTAAAATAAGGCTATATGCTTTCATAGCAATAAAGACACAAAAATACTGGATTTCATAGTATCAAAGTATCTGATTCAGTTCTGCACTGACAGCTGAAGATCCTTAGCTTCAGGAGTTGTGCAAATACCCAAACACAACTGACTTTTCAATGAAACATAAGTCTGAACACTGCCTCTCCAATTAAAGCATTACAGGACAACTTTGTCCAGAACTTCAGTTGCACTGAGTCCTTTCTTGTAGCAGACAAAGGAAGAAATTACCTAAGAGTCTCACTAAATTACCCCTCTTTAACTTAGTCAGCAGCAGAAACAAATATTTTTCAGATTATTTTTCTAATGTAGAGCAAGAGTCACTTATATTTTTTCTAAGGTTAAATATTTATAATTAATACAAATCAGAAACATTTCAAGATGTTTCTTCAATGACGTCAGTCAGCCACACTTCTGAGAATGCGTATATTTTCACATTGGTTATTAGCTGAACTGAGAGCCAAAAAACACATGATGTTTCTACCCTGTTTTCACAGGATCCCCAAGTTTATACCTATTGCAATAAATTCATATAATTTAGATCCAATAGTTTTAGAGACATTTATTAAGTCAGAGAAAAGATACTTGTCAATTCCTTTATCAAAACACTATGTAGTCAGTTTTCAAAAAAATTATGCATTTTACGTATACAAAAAGGCATGCCCACACCTTTCAAACCAGTTGTGCTATGACACAACAAACCAGTCAGTTATTCACCATACAACTTTGAGAAAGCTGAAGTATCAGTGTCATCATGAAGGAAAGTGTCAAACTTATTTTTCTTATACCTGTATTCAGATCTGCATTCAATTTTTTTCAGTTGAAGGGATTTTAGGAAAAACAAAAAACAGCTAACATTTGGCAGGGGAAGTATTCTGTTTTATTTTGAGCAGTATAGATACTTATTTGCCTTTTCCAGGTTGGGGGGGAAATAAAAAAAGTACCCCCAAAATTCTTGACATATATTCAGACACGGACAAGTGCAAAGTAGACTGACACATGCAAACAACTATTAGCATATACATGAACAACGCAGATAATGTGGAAAAAAGAAAACAAAAATATTAATAATCTTTCTCTTCTAGAGAGAAAATTGAAACTCTTCTAGAATTTCTCTTTCAAATTATCACTACTTCACCATAAAACACAATAGAATAAATATAAACACTAATTTCTCCTTCCACTCTCACCTTTGCTGTTTCTTTTTGACTAATAACAGCAGTGGCTGTATTCTAATATCATAACAGCTGTTTTCCACTATGTATTGCCCTATTTCCATCATTCTTAGATATCAAGTCTCCCCTTCTCCTGTAATTACATCCCTTGAAATAGTTCCAGCCAATGTGCTTGCAAACTGAAGCTTGCTAAGATACAAGACACAGATTGCTCCAGTAAAATTAATCCACCACACAGAACAAAAATTTCCTTTTTATTTGAATTCTGAAGTAATTCTGAATTGATTCTGGGACGAGAAGAGTGGAAGCATTTGAAACGCTACAGATTTTTTTATTGACATGTATGAGTGAAACTTATTTTACTCCATGTTTAAGGAACAGAAGCAACTTCCAAAGTTATCATCTAGTCTGAACAATTACACAAGTTACTATATTCAAAAATGCCTAAAAGTTCACATGCAGTTAGACATAAGGAACTTTCAGAGTGCACCCTGTACGGGAATATCCTGACCTCAAGCATGCATTTACATACTCTAGCAGTTGAGTAAAATATGCAGGAGTGAGCCAATTTTTTTTTTAATGCAAAGTATGTTATTTTTTCCTAAAATACAATTGGATTGATGGTTCAACAGAAATCTGCTTCGGAGGTGGTGCACATGCACTGATCTATCACAAAGTAATTTGGACAGACTGATGGAACTAGTGTATTCAAAGGCTTGCTCCCTTTTAGGGGGCCTTTACCTTAAAATGAGCAGAGTAGATTTCAATTGCCAATTACAACTTTAGGGTTTACACATACGTCTAAATAAAGTTTATACAATTTGCATATATGTCTGATAACCGTAGAAGCAGCCTGGAAACCTTACACTCTGCCACTCACCCCCAGATAAGACAAACACATTCATGTTGTTAAATGAAAATCTTTCTTTTTGTCTACAAACCTGCAGCCAGCCTTTGAGTTACCACTGCCTTCTGTAAAGGCCTTTTCCCTTGCCTATACTTCTGACTGTCAGTCAGTACTTGTCACTTACAATGCCACCATTATCTAACTCTTACATACTGCTCTCAAAGGAACCTCAGTGTTTTATAAAGGACCTTTATAAAGGTCAGTATTGCTATTCTTCTTTTATGACTGTGAAAATCAGGCACAGAAGGAATCTCAGTAAAAACAAAAAAAATTTTGAAAAACACCATGCAAATGCAATGGTTTTTTGTGGGAGGCATATTATTTTATTATACAGAACTACATAAAATAAAACTCCTCCAACTTTTTGCCAAGGCAAAATGATTTTATTAACACCGACATTTTAAATGTTACAAAATCATTAAAATGAAAATGTCATTTTATACAATCTGAAGACCAAAACCAGACCACAATGCAGAGATTGCTTTGGCAGGACATTCATGGCATATTACACTCACCTTTCAGGACCAATACAACCTGCCCATTGAACACTGTACAGAACTGAAAACGCAATCTCAAACACGTAAGTCTGCCCTGTCTGAAGTGTCACTTCTCTGTGTCTACAAAAGCCAAAACTCAACAGCACACTTGGACAGGAGCCACCAAACAAAACTTCCACAGCGTGCTTTCCATCAATCTTTACAAAAATCTGCTTCCTAATTGCTTGCTATCTGAAGCAACCTGAATTTGGTTAATTAATAGGCATGGCATAAAGGACATCTTTGGATGGGGCTAAGGATAAGTGTGTCTCAATGTGTATTTCCTGCTGGAAAAAAAGACATTAACAATACTGTAAAATCCCAGTCACTAGTTAAATGTTGTATTGCCTAGGATCAAGGAAAAGCATCTCCAACTGTTTTAAAGACAAATAAAAAATCCTGCTGTACAAGAAGGCGATGAACAGTCTATAGGGAAATACTGATACAAATAGTCTTACTTTTAAAAGCAGTTTTATAGTATGTGAGGTTACTTTTTGCAAGGCTATTAAGAATTGCATTGAAACAGAACACTAAGGTATCGACATTATTCCAGACTACTGAAAAAAAAAACCAATACATGAAATGAGAAATAACTTACACCATATTATTGATTAAAGGAAACTTACCTAAAAGAACCATCCAGATTTGCCCTATGAATGAAACTCAGTTTTGCATCAGCCCAGTAAAGTTTCTGCTCGTCAAGATCTATCGTGAGTCCATTTGGCCAATAAATATCTGAATCAACAATTATTTTTCGCATGCTGCTGTCCATTCCTGCCCGTTCTATCCTGGGTGTTTCACCCCAGTCAGTCCAATACATGTATCTGAAAAAGACATACATGAATTAAGCCACAATACATGCTGGTTAGCTTTAGGAACAGAAGGGATAGCAACTCCTTGCAAAGCTTGTAATGGTATATACGTAGAGGGGCATAAAGACACCAATGTTTGTCCACAAAACTTTAACAAAATCCAGTTCCACAGGGCACAAAAGACGTCCTTCATGAGATCATCTCTCACAAGCTTTGTCTCTATATTGTGTTACTGTTCTCTTAAATGTTGGGCAGTACTTGATTATCATAAGCATTTTTAAGTGAGTATCATCCTGGTGTGGCCAGTTATTACAAGTTAATATCCTAAATCCTAAATCTGTAGCAACTAATTACCCATCCAAGAAGGCAATAACCACAGCTTAACTTCCTTCTGCAAGTCTATAGAGAAAAAAGAGTAAAATCAAGTGCCCTGAAATTTGTTTCTCCAATAAATAAAACACAAATCCATGCAGACTTGGAAAGACTGCACTAAATTTTTGGATGTTTTTTCCCCCTTCCATTCATGTCGCAGTTTCCCTGTCACTCCATCTATGAACAATTTAAGTAGCCTGAACAGACATTAACAGAAAGGACCAGATCAAGGTGTGGCAAATCACACAATATCTGCATGAAAAGCTGAGAGTGTGCAGTTAGGAGAGAAATTGTCTGGTCAGAAGAGGACAGTCAGTTCACAGCTGGTAAATATTACCCAGCATCATAAATCCAGCTTGCAAATTCAACATGTTAGTGATGCAAACACAACACAGCCAACTCCTAGCACAGCTACCTCAGGCCAGTCAGAGAAATTATATTGCTTTTCCAATGCCAATACAGCTATTTGGGGCATGGGTCTGTGTCAGGAAGTGTTTCACCTGACTGAGCCTTCAAACAAAATTAAGTGTCTGTGCACTGGACCCACCACTCCCCAGGCTCCCTGTGCTGTATTAGATCAACAGGACTGTCGCATGGGCGCCACCTGGGTAAATGCACTAAGTTGCGTCTACGCTAAGTCCTCCTGGCACAAGAGCTGCAGGAAAACGTGGTACAGAGGCATTTATCTATTCAGCCTTGCAAAACCTATGCTTAGCCAGATTTTTCACAACCTGGATTATCCCAGACCCTCAGATCCCTGAAGACAGCACTGGCTATGCAACCGCAGTAGGAACCAAAAAGGAAGTAAATGAATGTGCATTGTGAAAACATACATCCACACAAAAAGCTTCATGGTTGTTTTTTTAATGAAAGAGAATGCTGCCCACTTTGGGGATGAAGTGGGGACTATATCTGTAATTGCTGTCATGTTCCTCAGCAGGATGGTCTCCCCTTCACAACAAAAGATCCCCCTGTAAACTACAGTAGCTCCGTAGCTGCTTTACATGCAGCTGGGGCCATCAGTTCAGGCAAGGAGGAACAGGCAGCTGTACAGTTATTCCTAGGACATGTCCCTCACAACTCAACTAAAATGTTCTGATCTCCGTGTACACAGTACACACTGATTCAGGCGTACCTCCAGTTCCACGGCAGTCACAGCATCTACTTAGACCATTCTTAGACCATTCCAACAATATAGATAGACAGACAGATAGATATTGTCACTTGGATCACAACACACACACATCTGAGTGTGCAAGGGTAAAGAAGTTTTCTAGCTGAAATAGTAAAGCTCCCATGCAGATGAGTCCTCTGGTTTCTGAGCTCAGTTTAACATGGCTGAGGTAGAATCGTGTCCCCAGGTAACTTCCCCAAAATTTCTCAGCTCCAGCAGTCAGGACAGACTGACTGCTCCAGAAGAAGCAGCAGCAGTAGCTGAGCTGCCCCACTTCACAGGACAACCTATGAATGTAAATTGCCACTCATTTTGGTTTTCCTTACCAAGTCAGGTTGTAATTTGTGGCAACTCAAACTGTGTGGGGAAGCAGCTATTGACAAACAACGGAAGACAGAGAAAAGCAGACATAAAAAAACCTGTCTACGCAACCAACTGGTGAATCAGAACATGAAACTGATGTGGCCAAATACTCATTTTTAATCAGGTCAAATCAGTCCTCCGATCCAGCTCATCTACACTAGCTTGTACCATTTGCATTCAACTCTATGGGAATAAAAACAGACAAAAGATGGACTGTTAAATTAGGAAAAACCCGGCTATTAAAGGTGGCTTTGTGCCATATCATATGGCTATGACAATCTCACACTTACTCATACATACTTATTGAAATGTATAAATGCAGACTAAAAACGAGCTTAGAACAAAATAAAAAAAATCTCATGACAGTTATTTAAAAGTAAAAACAAAGGAGACAAAACTAGCTAAGGTCTATTAAACCTTTAAGGTAGTTGAAATAAAAAGGAGGAAAAAAACATCCCCAAAACTATCATTGAGAAAAATTCCTCTCCTCAAGCCTTCCATTAAAATTGCAGCCTGTCCTGAAGCTCAGTGCATTCAGATGAAGAAAAGGAAAAAAAAAAAGTCTGTAAGCCAAAGGGTCCTTGTGGCTTTTCTATGATACTAAAGGAGCTCCAGCTCAAGAACCTCCTCCTAAAAAATATTCTGTTGCATAATTTCATAGGTGATGTGTATTTACCTGTGGCCACACAGAGACTACTGTACAAAAGTAGTACTTTCAAATCCAAACACAAATTTGTCACAGGAAAATTACGTCTCTACGTTTCATTTCATTAAAGAGATACAAAGTTCAATGCCTGTGTCATTCAGAGGTTTAAAACTACACAGTATTAGCAAAGTTACTGCACCACAAAGGAAGGTTAGCAGGATCAATATGCATTTAGTGACATGCAGAACAACCTGAATGCAGGCAGCCTTCTTTCAAAGCACTTTTCTCTCAAGTTGGACATTTTTAAAGCAATATACCCTGTCATCGCCTTGCCCCGACTGCAGGGTGTCCCTGAAGTAGTGTAAAGCTGATCTTCCTGATGAACTTTTCAGAGTATATTGAGTCTGCAGTAATCAAGAACCTAAAGAGGTAACAGTTTCCCTCCCTCTGTGTGCTACACAGAATCTCCATGGTCCATCACAGGAAAGCAAGCCAAGCCATGGAATGGCAAATACAATTTTTGTCCCCATTTAACCTCCTCCCCTTTTCAAAGAGGCTTCTGTCCTTTCATCAGGCAGCAGGTGCTGAATTGCCATGAATTATAGGAAATTGGTTCAGGTTTGGGGATCGCTTAACAGATCAAGACCCTGAACTGGGAGTTTGGGTATCACTGTAAGAAGAGATCAGCTGATCATCTGTTCCTGCAGCAGGAGTGGGTGTCTCTGGTCTCCCTAAGCCTATTTAAAACCATGCCACTGCCAAATGGAGCAGTTCCTTCCATGGTTCCTACCCCTGGTGCTGACATTAGCATCTTACAAGGAAACAAAAAGAAAAAATCCAAAACCTTTCAGCTTAGAAAATGATCAGTCTGACCACCACTGGTGCTAAAACAGAAGGAGCAAATAAAGGGAGCAACCACTCAGCTGAAGCCACCTATGAAACTTCCTTGGAGAAAGAGGCAATTCTCATCAAGTTCCCCTAGATAAGTCACTCACCTTGGACTCTACAATTACGTAGGGCAGTTCCCTTCATCCCTCTTCTCCCACTGTAACATCTAGGCTGTTTTGACATTTTTTGGTCAATATAAGGTACAACACAACACTGGACATCAGACCTCAACAGGCCATAAAATATCACGTTTTAACTGCACGCCTGTGAGGGATTTCCAAGACTGCACAAAGTGTCAAGCTTCCCTTTTTTTGGCCCTTCTCTATTTTGAGTGACCAACCTAGTTCCAACCAAATTAAGAACAGTGTCCCAGCTGAGACACCATACACTGAGAGTCAGCTGAAGACAGAAATTTTTTTGCAAAACTTACAAATCCTAGCGAAAAAAAATCCATGGTTATTACGGAAAGAATGACACAAGCTTAGCTAAAGCAGCACTGCAAACTTAACTAGAACAGTAACAACAGAAAATTTTGGGGGTGAGGGGGAGCTTTCTTAATGTGATTAGTTACCAAGAGAAAGAGAAAGGCTACCTATCCTTGAAACAACCCACGGATCTGATTAAGAAAATTATATCTTCTGTCAAAACTACTGAAATCTTCTTGCACTAGCTGGGTTCATCACAGAAAGAGCCATACAGGAAAAACGCGGAGAAATTAAGGATTTTAGTAATGTCCAGTGGTAACCATTATGTCTTGCATTTTCCAAATGTTCTGTCCCCAGTACACAGGATCAATTCTTACACAAAGAGCAGATACTTTTGATAGGAGCTTTATGGACAGGGGAGAACATGACAAAAAGCTCCAAGTGGTTTCTCAGAGAAAGCAATCAGTCTGCATGCCAGAACAGTTTATATGTGAGGAACTTATTTAATTCAAGCAGATTTAAATTAACCTTAATTCAGGAGCCTGGAGTGGTAACTGGCATATTATTTCTTTAGAGGGGAAAAAAAGAAGGCTTTTTAAAATTTATTTTTTTAAAGAACACTCGAGAGTCCACATCTCATTCACCTCAACGAGAAACAAGCACTTTCAAACAGTGTAGACATCATCAATGTTTCTGGGACAGATGATGGTTTAGGACTGGGGTTTTGGTTTTTCAAATATAACCTATTTTGCTGGTGTCCAGTACATTACCAATCCCTATCATTTTCATTTCACCATTTTTATAAAATGGGTATTTAGCCTAGATAATGTTTCAGGAAATTAAGTAGACTATGCAAAGAATCTCAGTCCGGTACTACCTGTGCTATTATGCCTTCCAGTTTCAGAAGCCAGTTGAAAAGATGCACATTGAATAATAATGAAGAGTGTAAGGTAAGTATTTGGGTAGGGTTTTTGTTTGGTTGATTTTGTTGTTGGTGGTGGTGTTTTTAAATGTAAATTACAGAGTTTTAAATACCCCTGGGCCAGGGCATACCATAACAATTGTAAGAAGTTTAAAATACCAAACCCAGTTTGTACACATTAGATTGATCACATTTCAGGACTGAGATCTGGCATCTGAAGAG